CCGTTGGGACTGCGGACTTCGACCAGTCTTTGATCAAACGGACACCTGCACCTCAGTGCGTATCATTAGCTATGTTGTTCACTGTTCTCCCAACTGCTTAGGAACTATCTTCTGGAGCTCTGCGTTGCCTTGTCCTGGTTAATGCCTTTCCCGCTGACGTTTTCAACGTCTGGTTCATCTGGCTCTACTTCCACGCTCGGGTTACATGCGAAGCGGCTCAGAGGCTTCTCTGATGAACACGAGTTTGATGCTTCCACTCAAGGCAGGAGGAAGCAGTTGAAGATAGATATTCCACCTACGCCGCTCTACCTTCACTCTCCACACTCTTCATGCTCAGCTTTACCTTCGGTCAAGGAGTCCCCGTCTTCCCTGTTTTCGGCTGCATCAGAGGTCGAACAGACATCTAATGAGGATGCGACTCTACCAATATCCCAGTCGCAACTGGTGCCTGATGCAAGTCTGTCTGCCACGTCATCAACCATCGACCCTGACCAGCTTGTCGAGGACCTTATGGAAGACATTCCTCTTGCGCTTCTCACTGCGCCTCCTATCCATGGTTTATACTTCAACCCAACGCTATCCCTGCCCCACGAAATCGCGTCAGCTGTCATGAATTTTTGCCTTAAAGACCTACTTCCGCAATCCAAATGTAAATCAAGTTATGCTATTTGGCCGTGCCCCGGACCCGGAGATTTCAAATCTATCGTCATCTACCAACTACGCAAGAATACTCAACAACAATGCTTCATCAGATTCTGCCAACCTATATTCAACCTCGATGCCCAAAACAAGCGATTGTACTGGTACCCACAACAACACTAACATCACGGGACTTCCCACCATCTTCATCAACCTCCTTTCAACTCTCTCAACTCTACTCAAACCTTTCCTTCCCGAAGAGGCATATACTCTTCTCTTCCCTTCCTGCCCAACACAAGCACGACAAGCTATCATTAACCTATATAATCCCGGTGAAGGCATTTCTCCCCACGTCGACTTGCTTGGACGATACGGAGATGGAATCATTGGCGTCAGCTTTGGCAGTGGTTGCGTCATGAAGTTTGATCGAGTAGCTCAGACTTCTCAAACTTGCCAATGGAAGCAATCACGTTTCCAATCGAACCACGTCGAATGACGATGATGACAGCGGCGGAGTAGATCCGGGGCAACAAAGAGACAGGTGGGACTTGTATCTACCGGAGAGGAGCGTACTTGTTTTGTCGGAAGACGCACGATATGGCTGGACCCATGGGATTGACAAGATTACTAAAGACTACGTGTCTGCTTCTGAAGCTGAAGCTGGTTTCGGCAATGAGCATGCCGGTGGGAGGTGGATAGAACGAGGTGTTCGCTTGAGTGTAACGTTTCGATGGCTCCTGCCCGGTGCGGATGTCGTTGGTCCAGAAACCTCTTAGGCGAGCGATAGGGTGTTATCCTTGCGTATGCACCTGCCAAGTCTGTATTCCGTGCCTCCCAAGGTACTCTTTGTGCATAATCTAATTGATATTAACACAACAAACGTGGTGCTTGACGTGTGCTCGATGCGTCATCCCGAGATAACTTGCTCGATCTTAGTGTCGACTTTAAGGAAGCGTGTATGGTCGGAGGCAGAGACAATTGGTTTGACAGCCGCTCTGTATTGCAGGAGTTTAACCCGTCGATATCATTGGACAATTATAAGGTAACTACTGTACATGCATGCTCCAAAGCCAGGATGACCAGGTGCCTAGAACGATGTAAATATTGCACCAAGACCAATGTAAGAGAACGTGTCGACACACCTTTTACATTACGATACAAAACTCTCGATCCCTCAGTTGCCGTCCATATACGTTTTCTCCCTGCACGACATCTCTCATTCTCACCGCCGTATGCGCTTGATTCGCATGCACAACCTCATGCATTTGAAGCTGGTGCGCGAGCCGAAGATCTCGATCAAGACCATTCATCGGTGGAACACTGACACCACCATGCACCTCGCGCAAGTGATCATATACGTCTTTTGCAGTCTTGTACTTGGCGAGGCAGAGCCAGCATATATGCGCGTTGCACATCCGACAATGCATATGGTTGCAACCAGTCGTTTTCTGAATCCATACATGACACGAAGGACACGCCTTGGCTCCGTTGCGCGATGCCCATATCGAGTCGAGGCGTTCTTGCTCGTTCGGGTCTGTACATGCGCGTTGTTCGGGACACGTGCGGCCTGGATGTCCCTTCGAATTACATGTGGAGCAAACACTGGTCAAGCAGGATGGACAAGTGAGACCTTTTTTATCCTTGTTGCATCGGTATGTTTGCGTACAACCTGGAGTTTGACAGTATCTCAGCTCAGTTAGGGGTGTTGATCGACATAAGAAGAGATGGCCCTGTCGACGAGATGATGGAATTGGGGTATAGACAAGACGGTTTGGATTATAGGAATTGCTACTGGGCGTCGGCAAGTATCATCATTTCCAATGCAAGTGACTGGGGAAGCGGTTACGCTCTGGGGCTGTGATGAGGTAACCTCTAAGGCACGCTGCACAGTATTCGTGTCCGCATCCCAATCCAATAGGCTCTACAACTTCAGCAAGACAGATTGGACATGACGCCTGTTCTTCTGCCTCATCGGAGTGAGTTTCTGCGGCAAGTTTGTCGATCATGTCTGAAGCATTTCCTCCGCGGTGCTTGAGCACATAGTGAGAGTACATCACATCGAGGGATACTCCAAGGTTCTGCATGAAGCGAGTAAGTATGTCACTATCTTGGAGAGACCGCACAAGCTGTCTACTTATGCGAGTCCGATATTTAGCAAGCTTAGACCGCGCAACAGCCTCTCTTATAGCCGTGGCTACAGCGTCAATAGGCTTGCTGGGATTCAGCGTGGAATGTGAGCATGCGCGAGAGCCAATCCCGGGTTATCCTGTAAATACCCGTGTCTTTACGCGATAGCATCTGTTCCATTAGCTCTTTGGCGGTCAGGTCAAATGACCAGAGCCATCCATCGAACCAATCGAAACCGAGATAATCGGTCCGGACAATCGTCCCCTCAGGTTCTTCCGTTATCGACATCCTTCGATTCTTCGCAGGGTCATCATCTTCAAACAGGTAATGTTGGTCGAGGGGTATGCGGAGAATATGTTGTGTCGGCTGATTGGGTCGCAAGTCATACCTGAGGGGAGGAGATTTCTGTTCAAGTCCAAGCTGCTCGAGTTGTGCATGCGCTTTTTTGGCCGAAGACCAGGAGTCAAATTCGGCCGTCGCGGCGGTATATGTTCCCGTTGGGTTACAGGCCGTGAATTGAAAAAATATTAGGCCGGGACTGGACTTCCAATAGGCTCCCTAATTCAGTGTTGAGATCTAGATTTGAGGATGATGGATCGTTTAGGCGGGGCTTCCCAGGTCAATTGAAGCTCGTAATGTGGCGCCCGAAGCCGCGCGATGCACTCAGTTCCAACTACAGTCGCTCTCAATACTCGGCCTCGAATCGTCCTACCGTGTATCTGATCCACCACGGCCTGCCTCCGCCCTGCCTTGACGAGAACCGTAGCGTTCAAGGTCCCATTTCCACACTGTGACGTATCAGTAACGATGAACGGCGTATCCGCGCTTGAGAACAGGGACTGCGATGTGATCCGCTTCCATGTTAAAAGGGAGGTTGTAAATCTGCACAAAACCATTAGTCGAAACCGCAAGAAAGAGCCATGACCTTCAGACCTGCTCCGCATGCGGCCAGTGTCGAACCTGAGACGATGTGCTTGAAAGTGACGCTTTGCTCTTTCCTGGCAGCATCTTCGTGCATGGAGGCCAGAGTTTGTTCATTAATCACATGACGCGCTTGTCCGCCCTTCGCTGGTGAAGGGAGCGGGTCATTAGGCAAGGGAAAGCGGTCAGCATCATCGTTTGACGGTCGACTGAGCTCGAAAGCTTCCGCGAGGCCCAACGAACATGTGTCAGACGAGGCTGCATCGGTTAATCCCCGGCGCTGTGATTCCGCCATGCGCCTGCGGCCTGATTGCCTCAGCCTTTTTCGCATAGTCCTCCGCTTCTATCAGGGCAGTCTCCGCCGTCTTCTCGGCGGCATGTTGAGCTTGCTTTGCTCTTTCAGCCTCCACGATCGCTAGCTCCGCCCTCTGTTCAGCCTCCATCTGCGCGTGAGTAGCGTCCTCCGCCGCGCGTGATGTCTCTATAGTTATTTCAATCGCTTGTTCCAGCTCACGTTCTGCATTTGTCTGCGCTCGAAGGGCCATCTCTGCTCTTCGTTCCGCCTTCAAACTGACCTATCTTTGCCTTTTCCAGTTCGAGCTCGAGTAGTGACACACGGAAGCGCAGTTGCAGGAAGGCGTCTTGCATCGCCTGATGAGAGAAAGTCGACACGGTCGAGTCTTGGGCCGGTTAAAGGACTGATTATGTTCTATTACGTGAAGAAACACATTGTAGCGGGTAAGATACTATCTTCGATGGACGCACCTTACCTTCGATGCCTTTTCAACGTCACTGGCTCGGATGTCCACCCATCGAAAAAGAACGATAATATGTCGGACGTAGCGTTGGATTGGCCATGTCAGGAGCTAAAGCGGTGACGAGTGTACTTTCTATGTCATTCCATTGCACACATGATGCCTTATTTACCTCGCCGCCTCTACGACCCGGAAAGTAAACATTGAGACACTATGATCTCAATGGTGTTCCAATTTGAATTAAACATTGCAGTCAATCTGTTGCTCCGCCGTCGTGAGAACCGAGGGTCCACCCAATGACGTGTCTTCATGTTACTTCCGTCGTGCGATGACATGAGTGGGATCCCAATCGAACGTTGGCGCCAATCTTCAGAACTTAGTTTGACAATGGGGAATCTGGGCGGAAGGTGCATCGAATTTGAGACGCGTTGCAAAATGCAGACATGCTCTTTGATGAAAGTGAGAAATTTGGAAGCTGAGTTGTACTTGATACCAAAATTGCCTTGAACAAGCAATGGTGATTGATATGTAAGTACTGGTGGGAAAACGAAAAAGAAGCTCTCTGTCGGGGAGTCGAACCCCGCTTTCGCGCGCACAGTTAAACTGACAGGCGCGTGTACTAACCGATATACTAACAGAGACCTGTCGAACTTGAGTTCTGTTCTAAGGCAACCTACACTGCGGGCCTGGAATGCGAGGAACACTTGCCAGCAACCAAGTCCAAACTCGTTCTCGAAGTACTCGATTCGGCTCAATGGACAACCTGATGACGTTGCGCCCTATCTTCCTGCATGTCTGTGGCTGCTTAGGACATGATTTGGAACTCGGAATGCGGATGCCAGTGCGGACAAGTAAGCGATGCCAATTGCGGTGACGTTCAATTATCATTGAATTCGAAGCTGCATTTCCACTTCCCTGTCCCTATCAAGGCATCGATACAGAATAATCAGTTAATCTGACAAGAGATTCTTCTCATGGACGTCAACCGATTTGGCAATGCATGATTGACAGGTGGAATGACTTCTTGCATGTGATGCTATATATAACATGTTCTTATTACCGGCAGAAGTTGAGCTGAGCCGCGTTGCCTTAACTCTTCGACTGTATACAAGCCTTTCCGACACAAACGCTATGTCTTTGAAACTCGAGATAAGTTTGGTCAATGCTCCTGTCCCAGGACCAGCAAATGTCAGGGACTTGGCAAAGCTCAAGATTAAAACATCGGTTACCAACATTGGCACCAGCAGCAATCACCCTCATTACAGATCCTTCGAGTATCCTTTCCAAACAGGCTCTTGCGGAGAAATTTACAATTTTTTCCTCGTCCGACCGTGACAAGCGACCTACGTACAGGGGGATACTTGCAAAGATGATTTCGCAGGAGAGAGCGATCTCTTTGAACTTCGTGCAGGATCTCGAGCCACGAAAATCAATTGTTATTGTGCATGACTGTGAGCGAGATCTAATCTGTAATCTCATCTGAAACTAACATGGAATAGTGTCTACATTATACGATTTCACCGTGTCCGGGCAAGGGGAATACACTTTTGTACCAAATGCTACGCTCAATGCCATCGATAAACTCACGAAGGAGGTCTATGTCATTAGGCCCGTATCGATACCATCACTTAATGTTCTTATAATGGCTGAAAAGCTCGTCCTCGAACGTGCGTATAGTATTTTCAATTTACATTGGTCACTTTGATGATAGCTTGACAATCACAGGTGAAGAACCCAAAGTCAAAGAGCCTGTGACGGACAACAAAATGCAAATTCAACTGACTGCCGCAATTCAAGCCGCGGAAGACTATACAAATGAAGCCGCTAGGTATGTATGTAGCGTCGTATGGAAATCGGAGTTCTCACGCAAGTCTTCTCTGATGAAGTTATCTTGAAAACATATCTGGCGCTACGCTTCGCTACGAGACGTGGTTCGGGAAGTATGATGAACAACGAAAAAAGAAGGTAAAAGCACATTTTGACGAAGTCCGTAATGCCCTTCCTCTTGCCAAATTCACTATTGGCGGTCAAGTCTGCGAGTGCTCGTGTGGTGGTACTGACACTGTTTGCAAATGTACCGAAAAAACCTGTAAAGGCTGTGGATGTAAGTCTCTCTTCGCCTACGTTCAGGCGGACAGGTAAGCCTTATTATTTTCGAAAATACTAGTCCTGATCTCATTTTTTCTCTCTCGTAGTACGGACTTTACGGTACATTTGGCCAAACTGTTCTGGGACGCACCAGTGACCGGCTCAGATTCCAAGGCTTGTCCGCCTTAATTTGTTGTACCACGTTATAACATCTGATCTCCAGGCCGGCACAATTATCCATGAATTAAGTCATTTCAATGTTAATGGCAAAACAACCGACGCAGGATATGGTACGAGCGGTTGCAAGGATCTTGCGGTGGCGAAAGCGAATGTGGCAACTTCGAATGCCGACTCTCATCAATATTTCTCTGAGAACAACCCATTTCTTGATTAGTCGCTAGGCTGGGATGTAAGGGTCTTGTGGTGGCGAAAGCGAAGGTGGCAACTTCATACTGACTCCCATCAATACTTCGCCGAGAACAACCCATTTCTTGATTAGTCGTTAGATAACTAACTACGCGTCGCGATTGTATGATATACCATTTGTTACCATGCGTTCTTCCATCAGATGCCATACATAGACCGCACTGTAAAAACATCGGCAAAGCGTTGGTCTATCGTTTGTCCCTCTACAATACTAGCATGAGCATGCAAAACAATGTCATCGACGGCTGCTAGATTAATCTTGTACGAGGATGTCATTTCCAATCTCCGACCTTGGACTATCAATCAGAAGCGGGGAAGCCTAAAGTCACGAATGTCATATCTGCACAACGGATTACGCACATTCGTTTATGATGCCATTTGGAGTTTAGTTGGAGCAGTTCCTTCCTATCGACTCCTTGTCACATCGTGGCATGTTTGGGTGGCGGCCTGCGAAAAGATATCTTCAAATTTCGTGCATGAGAAGCGAAGAGTAATAATAGAAGCCACAGTTCACGTTGCACGGTGCAGGCCTCGTCACCTGGACATCGACAGGAGTCGTCGAAGACATTTTTAGCATTGACAAAGGTGTAAGGAAACCAACTCAAAGCGTCGTGGTCACGAGAGTTCGAACCGTAAATTACGTTTGCTGGCGCGAAGAAAGCGTGAGAAAACGCCACTTCACTGCATCCATGATGTCGGAATAATTAATATTAGCGCGAAGATTGCCTGACACGCTTATGTTAAGGGTGCATTTGGAATGGCCCTACCATTTGACTACACCACGGGCCCGACATGGGCAGGACTAATTTCCGCGGCTCGAGGGCTCACCCACTTCTGAATGGCACCTTCAGAGCGTTCCACAACACGGTACTGCACAATTAGGACAATGAAATAAATACGAAAAGGATCGACCCGAGGACTCACCGTCTTCAGCTCCACGTCCATTTGCGATGAAATACATTGTCTAAAGCCAAAAAGTTCGTAGAAGTATTGATCGTGTCTGACCGAAATACGCACCAGAGCGATATTGTACTGGTTGCCCGTTAAATGGAGCTGTGTGGTCCGACCTTCCAGCTTAGCGTTCCCTATCGTTTCTCAGTTGAAAGAACCACCGACAATCCAGAAAACACCCCGATATTCCCTGCAAGTCCCATGCGCCAGAACTTCATGTCGCTGAAAGCCTCAGACCAGACTATACCTCTATCCAAAAAACGACATCAAATACATAAGTGACAAAAATGGGATTAAGCGCATGTCGATTTTCGGCCATAATGTTCGGGTGTTAGATCGGGAGGTGACGGCAACGTCAAGTCCCCTCCAAAATGGACCAAAGCAGAGGTGGCTTCCAATACTGTATCCGCTTCCTTTTCCTTGGACATGGAGAGCGTTGGGGGTTGGAGGAAGAGTAAGGTTAGGATCGAGATTAAACACTGTTCGGTTCGGTTCCATTGGTCAGCCTACCATGAGGGTTTTACGATAACGTACTATTATTATATCGCGTTTGAGTGTCTGACCGCCATGGGAATATCCACGCGGGGTGAATGACTTGTGTGATGTGCAAGTGACGGTGATGCTCCGGTAGGGTGAAGATGTGAGCGCGAGAAAGAGTGGATGACTGGAAATGCAATGCCTGCTCTTTGGACACTGGCTTATCTCATTAGCTGGAAGCCTTCGATCACGATGTCACATGCCACACTGGGAGACGTTTATAACACAGTCCATCGCCAACCAGGCTGCAAAAGAGTCAAAATTCGCAAAACTGTAGGGCAAACTTGTACAGCGCTAAGCGTCGACCCGTAAGCGCAACCCCCGCAACGAGTCAATGAAGTTTTCGGAAGGAAGGCTACTGCCCTCGTCTGAGTCTGATTCATCTGCATCAGGAACCCAATCGACCCGACCACCGTATGCCTTTCCAGTCCCTGCTTCTTCTTCTGCCACATAACACTCGAGAAGGGCTTGGACCATCTCGTTGCTCCACAAAACCCTATTCATGAAAATATCCTTGAAATTGTTGAGAGCCGAACATCTTCCTGAGGGTATGCAAGCCCGGGCTTCGAGGTAACGGGCCGAGCCGGCTGGATACTGTTTCCGAATAGCGCGAGCAAAGTGTGGTCGAAGGATAGCATTTTCCTCGTAGAGATGTTTCGAGCTGTCGACATCTTGTATGAAGATCGGATATTCGTAGAGGAAATAAAGAGGCGCAGCGTGTGCATGATCCCAATCTATGACCCCGATAAGGCGTGGAGGGGAAGTACCATCGCTGAGTTTGGGATCAGTGAAAAGGAGATTTTGACCATCGAAATCTGCGTGCCGGAGTCGGAAAGGTGGACGGATATATGGCTCGTTATCGTGCGAGGCAAAATAATTCGCCAAAACACCCCGTACTTTGTGTAATCGCATGCGATTCTCCTCGGATATGCGACTACTGGACGAAAAACGGTCAATGAAAAGGTAGAGATAATCAGACGTAGATCCGAAAGGCCCGTCAGACATGTCTTTGATTACCTCTTCCCCGTCGACGTTCTCCATCATGTGGTGTAGCAGCGGTCCAACGGAGCCGTCCTCCGTGATAGAGCCCGTAGCTTTGAATTCCATGTTTGCAAGCTGACCGAGCACCCAGGTGATCTGGGTCAGAACGTCTTTCTTGTGCTCCAACGTGAGATCATCCCAGATCCGGTAAAGGTTTACACCCTCGACGTAATCCATGACAAGAAATTGCATACCGACCTCGTTGGACGGCGAATCCTCGAAAAAGTGGACGACGGGAACGGGTATTGAAGTACGTGAGCGGACGAGGGTCATCGTGGCAACTTCACTGCGCAATGCAGATGGATTGCGGGGAGACCGGCAGAGGCGTGCTATCAGTTTCCGGCCATCTTCTGTGTTGAGCATGTAGATTTCGTGATACGTGCCGCGAGTAACTTTTTGGCAAGATGTGATCTTCCGGCCAATACGTGTGTAGACGAGGTCGCTGAGTGCTTTCAGATCAGGTTTCAGCTCAGGATACTCATCACTCTCGTATCCATCATCGTCCAGGCTTGGGAGGATGGAGAGAAGCATGATTTGTCTTGGAAAGCAGGACCAAATAATGTTCCGAGTTTAAGGCGAGGTTTAAAAGCGACAAAAA